GTGAGTGCCTTTACCGCTCTCTGCTTTCTTGGCTGCTGAGCCTCTCTTCTGCAGAAAGGATGCTGTTTGGGTTTCTGTGTCTTCTGCGGTGCCGTTGAATTTCTCCAGTGTTTGCAAAGACCTGTTGCTCTGAGATGATGATCGTTCTTTTGCCGAAGCACAAGCTGCCCAGCATATGTGTGTAACTGGAATTAATTGCAGCGATCTGCAGTAGCCCTAGGCTTGTCCTAGAATTTGCTTAAATAAAGGGGAATGGGTCTTTAATGAAAGTGGAAGGACTTTTGTATTTCCCCTGTGTCCTGGTTTCAGCTGGGATAGAGTTAACTGTCTTCCTAGTAGCTGGTACAGTGCTACTGCTACTGGAAACTGCTGCCTTCTGCTTCTTCAGCTTCAGCAGTGGTTGGTGTCTGAAGTCTTTCTCCTGCAGTATTGTGAAGCAGGAGTAAGGGTCAACGATAGCTTCTTGATGGCATCAAAACCAAGCAAAGCTATGTCCCCTGAAAATGAATGCAATTCATGGAATTCCTGTAGCTCAGACTTATGTTCATGTCTTTGATTTTATTTTCTATTATAATTTATTTATAAGAAGGTTCTATTTTGTAGCAGAGGTGGTATACTAGAAGCATCAGCCATGTCAAAAAATTATGTATAAATGCAACAGTTTACGTTGTAGTAATGGCAGGTTCATCAAGTATTCCTATGTCCTTGTAGAATTGTTCAGCTGTCAATCTGGGTCTCAGTAGCAGGACAAAAGGGTTGCAAAGCCAGGCTCTCAGAAGGCAGGATAGCATTTAAGTTACTTACACAGCCCAAATTTGACTTGGGTGTGTGCTACAGGTTCTGACTACGTGGTTTCACAGCTGCTTCTTGGCTTGATGCTGCCTTGCTCAGTGTGCAAAACGGATGTGTATTTGTGGTTCTTTTTTTTTTTTTTTTTTTTTTTTTCCCCTCCTCTGAGGCTGTGCTTTACTTGTTGTGCAGTTAAACCCTGCCCCAAGGACAGAAATGTAAGTTCTCCAGTATGCTTCTCTGTGGGGCTCCTCATAAATGTCTGAGCATCTGCAGTTTGCAGTGTGTTTGTTGGAAAGCATCTCTGCGTAGATGAGGCACACACAAGGTACCCAGCCAGTTCTGGGTGCTCTTCTGGGAGATTGCTAGGACTTCACTCCTCTTAATAATTTCTGATGTCCGTGAAATGCAGTTCTGATGCTGACAACTCAGCCCATGGGTCTGACCTTCTGCAAGGGTCTGGCAATAAGGGACGTGAAAATTTTATTTTAAGATGTTTATTTGGTTTCATAGCAGCTCTAACAGAAGCAAGGCAGGAATCACTTCTCTCTGGCAGCTGATTTGCCTCTCTCATGGCACTTTATCTGGCCTTTGTGCCTTACTACACCTTTTTTTTTTTTTTTTTTTTTACTTATTTGGTGGAAAAAACCCCAAACAGGTAGAACCTTGCTTCAGCACGTGCTTCTGCTGGGTGAAGGAGGTATGCTGTGACAAAACGAGGTGCAGGATTATAATGTCTTTTTTGATGTGTGGGGAGAGGAGAGGGCTGTTATGCCAGGGGCTGGGCTCCTACGTCCACTGCACAGACTTCTGCCACTTGAGTGATCAGCAGGCAGTCGTAATGAAACATTGTCTTCTCTATGGACCATCGGTGGGGAGGATTGGTTTTGTGGAGAGGACTTGTTGGCTGGTTGGCACTAGTGACCTGGGGAGCTGTGGGCTCTGTCAGTGGCCCGAGAGGCAGGTAATTGCTCCAGCCATTGCCTCTTCTCAAGCTTGTTCCCAGCCCACCTCCAGGTCCTTGCCTTAGCTGTGTTCATGGACCAGCCCTGGCCTGAAGCTCCTCAGCATCTCATTTGAGTTCTTGGCTGAGCCCTTGTCTGGGCTTCACGTCCTGCTCGGCTGTGTCAGGTAAGCCTGCCCTATCCAGGCTCCTTCGTTCCTCGCATCTTCTCTTCATCTGACTGATGTGACCGGGGGTGCAGCTGTCTCTGCTAGTGGTGGTGTGTGTTTGTGTCCCTGCTCCCTGTCAGGACACCCTGTGGCAGCATGTGTCGGTGCCCTCCCGGCCCTGCTGGCACCCGCTCTGCGCTGCTGGCGAGAGGGAGCTGCTGTGCCGCTTGGCCTGGCGGCCCTCCTGGATGGTGCGCTGCTCTGCAGCAGTTTAATGATTTTTCCATTTAACTGTAATTAACCCGACAGGCAGGGTTTGGATTATTATGTTGTAGAAGAGTTGTGGTGGCAAGACTTCTAATTTTGGGATGAATCAGCATTAACAATTAAGCAATAAACAAATACAATCTCATTTACAAGAACACAGGCAGCAGGAGGTTTTCCTCTGCCAAAGCAGTCATCAGGCAATTGGTTATGTTGCAGCTGGGTAAGGTGGGAAGGAGAAATAATTTCTCACCTGGAGAAAGAAGATAAGCCATAAGTCTCTGCTGGCTGCCAGTGGGAGGGATGCTGAACGATAACGGAAGCTTGCTGCCTTCTTTTGCCTCCTGGTCCCACTATCTGTGATTACTGACTGTTAGTGCACATACCTGTCACACTGGATCCTGGATGTTACTAGGATATTAATTAATTCCCTTTAGGCAGATAAACTCACCTGGGCTGGTACTGGACCTCCAGCATCCTCCAGTATCTTTTCATACAGATCTTCAGTCTGAGGAGGGAAGAAGAATTAATGATAAATTAGTGATAATTTCTACAATATTGTTGTGTGTGAGGGGGTAATTTTGGGTCCTTACTTACTTGGCATCTTCCAAGGTATCTTCTCTTCCGTTAACTCTCTGCTAGTATTCCTGGTGGTGCAAATGCTTGCCCTGTAGAAGTGCTGTGTTGACGACTTTGTCAAACTCGGGTTTCACCAGAAGGCAAGGAGGCCTGATCACTCCTGTGCTCATGGCTTGTAGGACAACTGCTGAGGATTTGAGCTCTGCTGAGGGACACTGCCCATCTGCAGCTGGTGGCTCTCAGCATGGGCTTTGTGCACATCTGGAAGGAGCCGGGCTGCCAGAGGTGCTCCTGAGCAGGCAATGTCACTATCCTGCTGTGGTGAAGGGCACATGTCCCCTCGATCCTCTTACTTCCCAGAGATGCTGGTGAATATTTCTGAGCATCACACCCTGTTAGTGGGAGGGAGTGGGCGGACAGCTGAGCAGCTCCGGCAGCCGCAGCCTGGCTGTTGCGCTTCCTCTTCCAGCTCTGCGGCTGCTCCAGGCGCTGCCACGGCAGAAACTGCACGCCTTTGATGGCATCTCTGGGTTCACTTTTCAGTCACGTATAAAGGCAGACTTGGGCGGGAGTGGGGAGTCAGAGGTGGATTGTCATACATTTTTAAAAGTGATGTCCCTGAAGGAGTGCTGTGTGGCTGGACGACGGGTGTGCAGGGCTTGCTCGACCGCCTGTGCTCCTCTGCATCCCTTTTCTCTCCTGTTTGTATTGTTTCCCGAACTTAAATGTGCCCTTACTGCAGGCCACAAAGCCTGATGTGAGCACAGCCTGCATCAAGGGGATCCTGCTGCTGAGCTCGCTGGCTGGGGATTTCCTAACCTGACATGTAAATGTGCTGGGGCTTAGGCTCACCATTACTCATCCAACCTTCCTGTACTGCATTACAGCTGTCCTGTGGTCTGCCTGTCCAAGTTTCCTCGCCAGAGGGTGGCTCTAATTGCTTGCTGTGATGGCTGATCCCTCGCTGGGTGAGGTGGCTCTCAAAGGTTGCAGCTGTGCCAAGGTACCACTGCTGGCTGGGAGAAGCAAAGAAAGGTATTTTTCAGTCTGGCAGCCAGCTCTGTCTGTTTTTCTCCCCTTTGACCTAACCCTCAAGTGTTGTTTTAGTTTCGTTCTTTCTCACCCGGCAAGAACCTACACAGGCTGGCGCTGGTGGGACCTCAGCGCTTGTGGTAAGGCATTGCATGCCAGTGTTTCTTTGCACCAAGGAGCACTCCTCTTCTTTTTTTCTGTCTTCCTCCTTTCTTGCTTTTTACCACACTCTTTTTTTCTATCTTCCTCCCTTTCCTCATCACCCAAAATTTGTAAAGCACAAGCTTACCTTTTTCACACTGCTTTCCCTCCCTTGCCACCATGTGCTGCAGTGGGTTACGGTCCTTGGATGGTTCAAGCTGGCATAATGTGGGCTGTCAGCATATTAGGACCTCTCCTTAAGCTGTGAGTGCTTGGGTTCCCTGCTGAAAGCAGAAAGCTGAGCTGCCGGACTCAGGGGTGAAACATATGCCAGGCCATGCACATACACTGGAAACTTGCCCAGGGCAGGATAATTGTGGGAGGCAGTGTTTTTTGAGCAGACCGTGTGCTCTCACTTGCTAAACAGTCTTGTGATTAGTATCTTATTTAAGAGGATTTTAGGACATGTGCTGCAGTTACGCTGAGTTTCTTTTAGAAGTAGGGGAGAGGTTAGAAAAATAAACTCTGTAAAGGCTCTTTTGTGTTTCTAGCAAGGGTCATCAGATAAGTGCAGTGCATCACTGCTGTGTTGCATCAGTGTAGGCAGTGGGTTTTGCTATTAATGGTTCAGTGGGAGAGGGATCCGCAGGAGGGGCTTTGCACATGCATTTATACAGGCTGTATTGCTGAGATCTCCTTAGGGACCCAGAACTCCAGTGCTGAGGGTGAGTTCTGCTTCCCTGATCTCGGCATTACCAGTTGTCCCCGACCCTGGCTCCTGGCATTAGACTCTGGGGAGATCTGCAGCCAGCAGGTCTTCAGCAGCATATTTTGCCTTCAAAATAAGGCTCTGCGTGCTGTTTTACTCAAGCACAAGGTGTTGGCAGCTCGTTGTTGGTCTTACCCAGGACTCCCTCGCCCATGGTGTGGGTGCAGCAGCATCTGCAGGCTCTGGGCGTTTCCATGTCACTGCTGACTTGCGGTGTGGTCCCAGCTGGTGGTTGTAGTCACCAGTCTGGTGGTTTCTGATCAGTCTGATGTGGCTGTCTAACATCTTCCCCTTAATTTCTTTCCTAGGCTAGAGAACTCGATTAAGAGGGAGATGGGAGTATGAAGAATTGCATGCAGAGCACGGATGTGCTCCCTGTGGTGGCATCTCCTGCAGATCTTACCTGGCAATCTGCTTCTGCCTGGAAGGGTTTGAGAGGAAATGCTGTGGAAAGCAAAGGAACCTGGAGATGAAGGTGATGACCATGGCTCTTCTTCTTTTCCCTGCCCCTCTTTTCCCTTTCACATGCCTGCAGCAAGAGCACGGCTGCTGTCGGCGTGACAAGGCCACGTACATTCAGAGGCACTGCTGTTTGCACTGGGGCTGTCTTGTATTGCATGTGGAGTTGGGAGGATGGTAAAGAAAATGGGAAGCATTCTCTGCCATTCCCCTTGCAACTATCCTATATTTCTCTTAAAGCAAAATGCAACATTTATTCTGCTTCTTGTGGGAGCCCTTGTAGGTGTTGATACATACTGGTTATGCTCCAAAGATACATGTCTAAGATCCAGTGATTATTCTGACTTGCATAAAATTAATATAAGATGTGTGCTGCGGGCTCATTTCAGTTAGGGCTTTCCCCAGAAACCCCAGTCCTCTAGAAAGGTATATTGCTGGTGTGGTGCTAGGTTAGAGTAATTACCCGGCTGCTTTCACAGCTGACCTCTGCTGAACATGCCCGAAGTGCTTTTGTTGGTGGTGCCACTACTTTCCCTTTCTGTCACTCTTCTCCACCAGCATCCTGCCCCTTATCGCAGTGCTGCAAGCCTTCAGCAGTTGCCGCCCGGGATGACGAACTAGTCCAAAAGATCCGTATCACATACTGAATATTCTAGAGCTCTGTGCTTCAGCTTTGGGCCTGATTAGTCCAATAGTTGTGTGACCACTGCTACCATTTGGCATACAATTAGTGTACACCATAAAGTTTTGATCATGCAAAGCAAGACTGCTGGGCAGCCTGAGCCATTGCAGTGACTGGGGAATGTGGTGATGCTGGGACCCCCTCCATTTTCTCTTGTGCATGGGAAAGTTAACTTGGTAGGGGGCATTTTTAGAGTTGACTGCAAATACAAGTACTGGGTTTATGCCTGTTTTCATGTGTGAAGAAGGTTTGGGAGGACCTCATTGTATAGCTGCTTCATTAAATCCTTAACTTGCTGGCATCAAGAGTGCCAGATGTTGCTCCCTGCTTCCTCCTCTGCTGGAAACATGCTAATCGCCTCTCCTCCGCTTAAAACCTGAATCTTTAATACAGAAAATGCGCCACCGTTTCTTTGTTTCTGGCCAGGGAACACTTCTCCCTCCCAGTGTTGTATTACCTTTAGCATTGCAAACTGAAACGCTTGGGCTGGGGTAGCAGAGCTCCAGCAGCCTGCCTGCCTGGGGGCTGCTAGATTTCCATCCCCAAAGAGGGCAGAGAGCAGCCAAAATTTGCACGCGTGTCAAGACGGAGCAGTATGGGGCCTGGGGAGTGTTGGCAGGAGTGGTAACACACTGCTGGAGGTAGGCGAGTGGAAGTGTGGCACATTGCCTTGGGCATCTTTGGCAGCTGGTTTTTTCATGGGGGAAGAAGGAAACTAAGCTGGAGACAGCTTAACTTCTGGTTAGGTGGGATTTGGGTATAGAATAGAGGAACAAAAAAGCAGGTCAGCCATAGAGCAATGCCCCTGTAAAACTACTACTACTTTTTTTTTTTTTTTTTTGAAACAAGGGAGGGGGTTAGTTTTGTTTTTGTCCTTGTTCCTCTGTGAAAGTCCTCTGCTTGCTGGATAAAGATGTGTCTTGGGGTGTGACCTCAGGTGGGCTGGTGATATAGCAGGATCTTGTGTAGTCATGGGAGTTGTCCTCTCTCAGGAGGTGTGGGAGCACGTGGCAGCTCTGTGTGCATGTGCAAAGTACAGATCTGCAGCAGTGAATGACTACTATTATTTTGGCCGTGGTTGGATGCCAGTCTTTGGGACAGCTGAAATCTAAGGCCAAGACAACCTCTCAAGCACAGGTTCACTTTTAGTGCAGAGATATTCCTTCTCTTAATGTGTTTTGGTAACACTGAACTGAAGAGTTACCTTCCATTTGTGCCAGGACAAAATCTTTAGCCCCTTTTGAAATGCTCAGAAGTCTTCCTGTTGAACAGCCAAACCCAGTTCTCTGTTACTAAATACGGTTTCAGACTAGGCAGCCTGGTTAGGCCTGGCTTGTAATATGCAAAGGCTGTTGGGGGAGTTGAGTATTTGAAAACCAGCAAAGTGATACATTTGGTCTGTAAGACCTGTATCTCTCAGTCTGCCCAGCCCTCTTGTCAGCAGTTACGCTGTTTGATATGTTAGTATCTGAAATTTAAAGGGGCCTTTTCTTTTTCCGCCTTTGGGCACATCTGAAATAGGGGAGTAAAACCAAAAACAGGCACACACTTGCTTTACCCCTCAGTGCTCCATGTAGCTGTGTGGGAGCCTCTGACCCCTACTCCTTCAGAAAGCGGCTTGTGGCTGAGCAGAGCCTGCCTGTTTGAGGAGAGGGACTGTTGGTACGTTAGGTTTGGATGGTCAAAGGCAGAGGAGAGAAGGACAGGGATGTGCTTCGGTGTGTTGTATCCAGGTTTAGCAATGGTTCTCCAAGGTGGGTGTCCAGACCAGCGGAGCACCCTCAGCAAAACCTTGCACCATGTACTAGAACGCAGTTCCCTGTAATGATAATAGGATGATGCATATGTAATCGTATTGTGTAAGATTAACAGAGTAATTAATCCTGCATACTTGATGCTGAAGTGCGGTGCCAGCCCATCTGCTTGTTTTTGCTGTAGTTTTTCATGTGATTTAGAGATGGCTCCTCCAGTGCTATCTGTTTGGGGCAGCTTTGTCTATCAGGAGTTGGCTGTTGGTGGCCACTCTGGTATCAGCCTGTTTCTGGATATTCAAGGCTTCTGCTGTCTTATATGCATGAAGTCCACGCTGCGGTACACTACAGCAGAAGACCCCCATCTCAGGCATTGCTTCACAATTGAAGCATTCTGTGGGACTCCTGCACCAGCTCTGAAACATCTGGGCTCGTGTCCTCTGCTCATCAAGAACAGGCACTGCACGCATCTCTCCCATCTCTCTGGGAGAGGTAGGAGAAAAGCTGACCAAAAATGCAGATCAGGGAAGGACTTCCAACAAGGAAGGTTTGTGGAGGGTGGAAGGAGGGCTGGAGGTGGGTGTACGGCTCTCACCAAGGCAGGAGGGCAGCTGCCTACCACTGCACTGTGGGGAAAGACCACAGAAATGAGGGCATCGCCTCATGTGGTGCCGATGCTGGCAGGGGTGTGTAGGGCCTTAGGAAGGATTTCCCAGGAGGAAAGAGAGAGTCCTGGAGATGCGCACACAGTAGGAAGGCACCCAGTTCCTCGTGGGTAGCACATATGTCCATCTCCAGCCCTCCTCCTGGCTCCACGCAGTGCTGTGCATCCTTGGTCTCTTAAAAATAGCTTTTTTAAGTACCACTGCAGTCAGAGGAGCGGTTTTGCCAAGCGCTAACCACCAGTGCTGCTGTGCGAGTGTTTGATCAGACGATGCAGAGCACAGCCCTTTCATCTCTCCTGGCAGTAGCGGTGCCCTGGCGAAGTCAAAGAGTTCAGGGGAGCTGGCGCCTCTGGACAGAGCGCGTGGGAAATTTCCGCTCGGCTTCCCTGCTCTCACACAAATGGTTTTTCACCTCTTTGGGCGGTAATCTGCCGAGATCTCTGAAAGAGCTGTGATGTTTGGTCAGCTTGTAAAGACCTCCCAAAAAGCGTACAGGAGGTTAGCTGCAAGTGTGCTCATTTCTGAAGCACTGATGCTCCACCCTATTTGAGATGGCTACAGATAAAGCCTTACGGAGATTCAGACAAGGTAAGGCTTTATACACAACCCAAAGTGAGAGGAACCTAAAAACTGCGGCAGGCTTATAATTTTTACCCCCGTACTTTGGGGAAAAAAATTGAAAATCATTGTTCCTAACAGACTTCAGAAAATACTCATCAGATTGGTGCACTTTTTAAACTAGTGATTTCTATATTTAATAACTTCAGAAGGAGGAAGAAAAATTCAAAGATGGCGGCTTGTAAAAGTAATTTCCCTTGATGACATACAACTCTGACCTATATGTGTGTTGGTCAGCTTATGAAAAAGCTATTATTTCAGCAATATCAATTTCTTATTGTATCGTGAATGCATTATTACCTAATTAAAAAATAGGTGGGAATAGGTATATAAGTACCTACATATATGTATTTGTTACATATTGTGGAAAGAGAGACACATTTCAGTGGAAGAAGAACCTTAGCTGAATTGGCCTGATTCTTGGGAAAAAAAAAAAAAAAAAGAACAAAAAGACTAATGAAATGCAAATTAATAATCCCAAAATAGTGTGAGAGGGCTTTGCTAGGCTTCTCTGTTGTTTTTCTTTGCTTTGATATTGGAGCGTTGCAGCTCCTTCTACATCAGAGGAGATACTCTAACCAGCATACCCAGGGCTTGGGGGTTCTCTGCCAGTTTTGCATCAGGGGCTACTGATATGATGGCCTGAGGATGGAAAAGAAATTGTGTGCCTCCTCTCAAGAGACCCCAGGATGGCCAGGACTGCCTTCAGATGCCTGTGCAAGCTTAAAGCATGGTGTGGTAGCAGCCGAGCTCCCTTCCTGAGAACATGGAAGGGGAGATGGTGAAACAGAGCGTGAGGTACACTGCTGGTAAGGATCCCTTCGGTAAGAAAAGGGAGGAAAGTTGAGATGAAGGGTCACCTAGGATCAGCTCCCATGAGACTATGGTGGCATTCCCAAATAAAAAACTTAAAAACTTGTCCCTTAAAAGCATAGTGGAGTAAAAGTAGGCAGATTTGTTTAAATAAAAGGAATGAGTAACTTCTAACCTAAAGCTTGATCTGAGCCAGATCAAAGTCAGGCTTGTTTAAAGTTCAGTGGACTTTAAGCCCAGTGCTTTTCCACTTCGAGCTTGGATCAGATGTTGAGCAGCAAGAAGAAATGGCCTTGTCTCAGATAAATTGGGCATGTGCTAGAGGTGGCATGAGATCACCCTCGCAGTCTTGAGCACTGTGCGGGATGTTATGGCGTGTGAGATCACTGCTGTATGGAAACATCCCATTCTTGCTCTAAAGCAGTTAGGCATGATGTCACCACCCGGAGCGTCCTCTGAATCACCCCCAGCAGCTGGCAGCCACCAC